GTCGTTTATAAGATATTACAATCCTTTTGCTTTTAAATGAATAAATAAGAAATACCCTCGGTCTGTAGCCCTTGGCTGGAAAATGGTTTTGCGCAACTTCTCAGATCGTGCGCTTTGAGTGGCGCCACCGTCGTTGTAATCAAACTGTAGTCGTTAGTTTTAAAACATTTTTTTTAAATATTTCTAATAGTGATTGAACCATGAAACTTTTTATGTAGTGCAATTATAACCTAAATTAGCTGAAAATAACCCTAGAACCTAGAAGCTACTGTTCCTTTAAGTAAGAACCACTGAAGGTAATACATAGCCATTGACATTGACATGTTAATTATTACACGGGGGATTTGATGACCAGTGGGAACCCTTTTATGACGTAAGGAAAATAGCGGTTAGTTAATTGCGCATTTAGCATTCGTGGCTTGCTGCCTGCACGGTCATCGAGTACCTGTAAATGTGTTCTGAGATATCCTTCTGTCTCCATATTAACTCTGCATTCCTCGTCCAGTTCCTGTCGCAGCCTCTAAATAAACATAATGGTATACAGATATAACTCAGAAATATATAATGCAATATCAGTTGGTACTTCATGTGCATACTTACTTTCATTCATTCAACGAAACGTGGTTCAGGAATGTAATTGGGAATCTGGCAAAGACACTGTATTAATGTGGGACGTTCACCATGAATTGCCAAAGAGTAGCGCAATAAAGAAAAGAAAATATGGGTGTTCAACCATCTAGACGTACACCAGAGGTACCTTATTTGATGACTTCTTTCCTTAAATTAGTAATTAATTGATTTGTTATTAATTGATTTCCTTATTAGTTTCCTGTCGGCCATATTCTTTCTCAATTGTTAGTCACTCGCCTGTATTTCCTGATGCAGTTCGGTCTCTCCCTTGCTACACAGCTGCTGTGTCTGTGTCACACTGTTCTGTGTCATGCCCTTTACAAACTTCATCTCCATGTTAGTTCTTGCCTGGTAACAGAGTTATGTGTTATGGCATTGATGACAAATCAATCATTGGATGATATGAATACCTTGAATGAGTCTCACTGAGAACATATCCAGTGCCGTGAAAAGTTAGCGTTCAGTCATCTTGATGAGGTTACCTGGGGAAATAATGGAAGATCATATTAATTAATACGAATGACAGCTCAATGGATAGTGTGAAATTACTCATGATGAAGCAGGTTCAAGTTGATATACAACTAGAAGCAATCACTATTCTGCCCAATATAGTTTCATTGCTTTTTTGTCATTGCGAGCCATCTTCTAGCAAATCACAGTACCTGGTCTACAGACCTTTGTATCCTGTATCTGGTCCTTCAGGTGAGCAATCAGCTCATTTCTGTCCTGAATGTCTGTCTCTTTGCTGTTCTTTGTTTCGATTATCATCCTCTGCAAACTTCTGGTTTTTGTCCTAGTCTCTTCCTCCCTACCAGTAGCATATACCTCAGTATAGTCTTTGCGTATGTGCAAAAGCAGTGAAATTACTGCATTGCTTGTTAAATAGAAGTCTGCACCTGTCTAGGAGAAGTCCCAGTTCCATCTTTGATATGTGTGTAAGTTGGTGCATATGATACTGTTCTGAATTCTTTAAGGTTTTAAAATAGTGTTTTAAACGTTCTAAGAAAACAAGTATCTAATGACAGCATAAGCATAATGTGGGGTCATGTGCCCCTTGTATGCCCCCACACATTAGTTGTTATGCTCTACTTCCCATATACTTTTCCTAACACAGTATATACCATCTCGCTTTTTTCCCTGTACTCTACTGTGTGCTGATATAATGTTATGATATGTTATCAAGTGAGACCCATGTGAAAACAAAGTAACAGCACCTAATATTTTCTTAGTAAAGGGGTATGAATTATTGGATGTAGTTTTATTCATGCTTACTTGGCAACGGTCTTGTTAAATCCTGACTTCCTCTGCATCTCGGTTTTAATGGACTGTTGCAGGAAATTAAAGCTTTCGTGTTCAGCTAGTTCTTTGCGTGTTCCCTCCAGGACCTCTGCTATAAAGCCCCTGCATGACGAACAGGATAAAATATTTAATTGTACAGATTGATATATAATTCAGGCATGATACTAATACTATCGTGAATCGACCACACCTTACAAGGGCTGTAACCTGACCAACTTCCTGGAAGGGTAAAATTTTGCAATTTTATCCGAGATGTGACTTCAGAATACCTTTTTGAAATGATTTTGATATTAAAACCACAAGATAAAGTTGGGCTGAAGGTATGATTGTGTTCAATTATTTATTACAGTCCGACCTCCTTTATCCGGCCAAGTCAGGACCAGCACCTATCCGGATATGGGATTTGGCCGGATGTGAGAGTTATGCTCAAACACAGCATTTCTATGCAGTTCAGTGGGGTTTATGCATGTGATAATGTATTTAAACGTTGCTATGATTATTTGTAACAAACTGTCGTGTTTTATGGTTTATATGAAATGGAAATAAAATGAACTAAAACAGAAATTTTGGCAAATTTTGAGGCATAGCGGACATGAGTGGACAACACACACACACGCGCGCACACACACGCAAACACACGTACGGTTGGTACATCGCACAAGTTTTAAGCAAGCTTTGAGCGAGTTTTGAGCGAGATTTTTAGGTGGAAATGAATGAAAAACAGAGGACATACACTGTGAGATCGCGGCCGGTTAATAGAGATTTCCGGATAATGGATGGCCGGATAAAGGAGGTCAGACTGTATATACAAGGGACACATTTACCAATGAATGAAAATAATGCTAAAATGTATGTGTCCCTCACTCCACCTTAAGCTACAGCTCTAGCTGTACACTGAACACCTGGTTACGTGCAGTGGTTCATACAAGTGTTGGAAACTGCACCAGGAAACCCGGTATAAAATTGTCTAGATAGAACAGTAGAATGGGTTCTTCTAGAAATTGTCTATAGAAGTTTATAGAAGGGCTTTTTACTTAACACTATAGTAATTAAAGCCTATGTGATTAAATTTAGCTTGCCTGTCTTTTTGAATTTTCACCATATTATCTTGTGCCGGTTGACCTTGTAGAACACCTCTTTTAAAAACCTAAAAGAATATAAACAACTGATTCAAACAGCCCTCAGTTCACTTCAAAAAGCACCTGTGGGATATTACCTTTATTCGAATAATGTGAATAGATCTGTACTCCTATCTATCTGTGTTAGTTGATAACTGTTAATGTTGTTGCCACTAACTGACTACTATTAGTTTAATATTATTATTTGTATAATATAGCCACTCTCGATACACAAGCACTATAGTTATCTGCTATTGCATGATGTGTGATTTCCCATGCATGTGGCCATAACCTTACTAACAATAATATTACCATATTACTTCTTCCTAGAGTCTTCGCTGTCTCACCACCATTGCCATTTGTAAATTGCTTTCTACTGCAAGCACTTTTTTCGAACTCTTTCTCTAATCCTCTTTGATCCTCAAAAATGGATTCAACTTCCTTTGCAAATGTCTAGGATAAAAAAGAACTATGTTACCCAAGCTATATTATATGTGATCAATAGAATATATAGACTGTTACATGGTCAGTCAAGCTAGAGCAGTTTGTGTGCTTTTCCCTGAGTGAGTGCATCTCAAACTGTTGTCAGACTATTTTCATATATTTCAATGCCAAGCATCAATTGATTAGGGACATCCCATTCCAACAATGAACGATTAAAGCTTCCTCTCAATCACACCAAGCAGATAGGCCAATTGATGATCACATGATTATATTTTGTGTAAAAAAACAGGTATAACTAATTCAGTAATTGCGTAACTACCACGGTCAGTAGAGGAGTATAGTGGTGGGTGTCGTGACGACAGTGGCAGTAGTATTGCTGAGAGGGTCTATGTCCCCCGGGGTACTGCCGGAACGTACCCTGGGTACGGTCCGGTATACCGTAACGTACCCTGGTACTATCTAATATGCTGGACCGTACCTCGCCTACTCCACTAACGAGTCTAGGGAGTCGCCTACGCCTACTCCCTAACCCTAACCCAAACCCAAACCCTAAACCTAACCCTAACCATATCAAATAGTGACCAGGGTACGTTCTGGCAGTACCCTGGGGGACATAGACCCTATGAGCAGTAGTATTAGCACTAGCAGTAAGGGTAGCAGTAGCAGAAGAATAGACTCAGTGGCCCCTGCTTTATCAGGCTCCCAATGAATGGGTGCATGCATGGCTTAATCATGATTTAGGCCCATGTCACATAACAGTGACACAGTGTCAGGACAGTAGTAACGCTCATAGGGTACGTCTATGTCCCCCAGGGTACTGCCGGAACGTACCCTGGGTAGGGTCCGGTATACCAAAACGTACCCTGGTCACTATTTGATATGGTTAGGGTTAGGATTAGGGTTAGGATTAGGGTTAGGGTTTGGGTTCGGCTTAGGGTTAGGGTTAAGGAGTAGGCGTAGGCGACTACCTAGACTCGTTAGTGGAGTAGGCGAGGTACGGCGTCGGTACGGCATATTAGATAGTACCAGGGTACGTTCCGGTATACCGGACCGTACCCACTAAGTCTAACCCAGGGTACGTTCCGGCACGGGCGGCAGTACCCCGGGGGACATAGACCCTCTCAGCAGTAGTAACCGTAACCTTATCTGCCTTTACTCGGCATCCTTGTCCTCCAACGCTTGAGAATATTGAGCCGAGAATATGGAGCTTATCAATGCAATCTTCCAATACTGTACATGTTGCTATTTTATCAGTAAAAACATTCATGAACAAAGTCTCAGAGTGAGAGCAAGAGTTGTCATCGAGTTCAACTTCAACCCCCATATTGCATATATTGATATAATATATAAATTCAAAATTGCTTCACGTCTTCACTTTCAAATGTTACACTATGTTATTACAAAAGCAGTGTACTATTGATGTCTAGGAATGTCTAGTAAGTAGTATTATAATGACATTGACACTATCAAACAGTCAGTCTTTTCGAAAAGACTTGTTTTTGTTTACATTTTCGATGCGGTTCTTGTTGCTAGGTAACATAGTTCACCACCCGTGATATAGACTGACTTCACGGTCCTTGTTACCGCTCCCTCACATGCTGCTGCCCGACTTACGGAGTGACAACGTTAATACCGTGTTCGTCTATATTTTTAATAAAAATATAGATATTTTAACGAACGGTTAGGAAACAATATTTGCAAATATGATACATCTCATGTACTGTTTTATTTTTTAACTAATTTTTTACTGAAATATTTTACGTAATCATTTCGCCAATTTGAACGTGATATTTTTTTCGATAATTTATGGTTAATAACAGCGACGGTAGGTGGCTCAACTTCATTCAACCCATTTTACCAAATTCCAGTACGAGTTATTCAAATCAAGTATATTTAGTAATTTACATTCTTTATTTCTTTAAGATAACCAATGGATAAGTTTGTCGTCCGGTTACCAAGAAGTCTACCTGGAGAAGCTAGCAGGCCAAAGGAAAGGGCCACATATAAGCAAATGACGATTCACGACTTGAGGGTAGGCCTACACAACTCGGTGACAACTGACCTGTCACTGTGTCAGTGTCAGTGTCACAAGTTAGCCTACTACTACTAGTACTACTACTACTACTAGTACTAGTACTACGCTTTGACGCTGTGTTGCCGTTGGTATAAGTGATATCGGAAAGTCCAGCTGTGTTATTTAGGTCATAGAAAAAGGGGGTATAATACGGTACCCCGTACAGACTACGAATTTTAGCGCGAGTCAGACGCGCACTATTAACTAGGAGTGGGAGCGTACAGACTGCATATTTGACCCTACTTTAAATGAGTCATCAGTTCTCCCACCGCTCAGTTCCCTGCTTGCCACGTCACCCCGCAGACAGCGAGGTACAGCGAGCGTACAATTACGTGACCTAAATAAGGCTATGCGCATGCGCATTGCGAAACTTGGCACGCGCTAGGCACCGGATTGCGTACAGACACAGCTTAGAGCGGGATAACTTGGTCCGGACTAAGTTAGCCCTGCTTTATTTGCGGGGCTAACTTGGAGCGGGTCATCGCGTATTTGGAGCGGCATAGCGTGTACACACTGCAATATTTAGTGAGCGTCTGACGTGCTCTAGTTTAATACAATATCATATTCGTAGTCTGTACGGAGTATAAAATGGCGAGGCGCGCTTAGGAAAGTACATGATTACACTCGTGCGTTTTTAGTTTTTGCATTAACAAACATTGCAAAAGATCCCAAATGACCACAATCATATTTGTAAATGTTTGTGTAAACAGAAATGCACCTGTGAATTTAGAGGTACGATGTTAGTGAAGAGAATTATAGATCAAAAACTAGACTAGTCCTATCCTAACTTTGTTATATATAGGCAACTTATCACCCCTCTTATCTGATCTCAATATGGCAGCGGGGACTTTTCCGATATGGCTTATTTTAACAACACGCGTACTCAACAGTGTAGGCTCCTGCGCAATCACTCAAGATTGACTCTTGTCACTGAAACTACTCTAGCTACAAGTACAATTGTGGATGAATTAAGGATTGGTTCTGAAGTGACCAAGCATGATGAGTGACCACTCCGCTGTGTATATGAAAAATTTGACATCAAGCCTAGTATTTATGAGGGAATGTCTATAAGAGAGGTGTAACTCTGTCAGTCTGTAGCAAAACGTACTGAGAGGAGCCCCCATGGATGAACGTACCACTGTTGGTGCAGCAGCCGTAATACAGCAACATTCAGCCTTAGTTCGATAGCTCTGAGCTATGTTTACACTTGAACTGTGTGAATGAATTAAAAACTCATATATCATAAAATGATAATTTAACCCAGATCATGTTCTCGGCCATGGGTGTCACCTGAATTTGACGAGAAAGCGTGTCGTAGAGACGCAGCATTCAAATATTGCAAGAAATGTGGCTGCCCAAGTCATGAACTAAAATTAAAATAGCTAAAACAAGAAGCTCAACTAGGCCTTAGGAGGTCATTCTGCTCAAATGTTCAGTCGGTTATAACACAACAGGACACAGAGAGCAGAATGACGTGCATATAAAAGCTTGTAGGCATTTCCGTGCAGTATTATAACTGCAGAGAATGTAGTTTTTCTCCTTTTCTTCTAATCCTTTAAAGGCTCACAATGCGCATCCAAACGCTAATTACTCCAGTACTAGACTAGCAAATACTTCTTGGCATGCATAATCACACTACCTTATGACAAAATAAACTCTAGTTCCTCCCATTTCACTGCATGTTGTCTTATAAAAGGTATTTTGAAAATACCTCCAATGTTGTTGAAATTCTCCGATGTTGTTGACAGTTTCCCCAATCCCCAAGCAACCGTGCAGTGGTGCTGCGGTACAGCGGTACGGGCGCAGCAAAGATAAAAACATGTGACGTCACGTCACCACTTCGAGGCTATTTTGTTTGGCAAACAGTCGGCGTTTGCGCCAGAATGCCAGTTTTCTCACCTCTTTTTTGTCGGTTTTAAGCAAACGCGCAGTGAAATGGGAGCAACTAGAGTTTATTTTGTCATAAGGTAGTGTGATTATGCATGACACGAAGTACTTGCTAGTCTAGTACTGGAGAAATTAGCGTTTGGATGCGCATTGTGAGCCTTTAACCTTTCCCCCCTATGCTTAAATCTGTCATCTGTTCAGTTCTGCACTAGCCACAGTGTGTTAGTCAGAGACCCGTCTAACCATCTTTTGGACGGGCTATTCTTGGATGAGTTGATGAAATTTGATAGAGATGGCATGAGGGCGGCCCAATTTTACCCCTGCATAAAAATAAAATCCTCGGTAGGGCGTTTCGCGCCCGCAGCATCCTCGCTTCGCACAGATGGTGAGACTCCCTGATTTTTTTTTCCTGGCTATCACCCTGACTAGCCACTGCACAAAGCTATAGTGATGATTCGGCACGACCACGAACATTAAATTGACTACGTCACGAATTTTCTATGGTAAAATTTGTAAAATTTTTGTTGCCATTTTTTTACATTAAAAGTAAATACTAACAGGACTTTCAAATTTTTACCTGAAAGATTGTTTCACAACTAGTTAGAAATCCAAAAAACCTGGACGATTTGTTATTGTTATTGCGATCCTGATATTAATTGCTTGCTATGGGCTATGTATGAGTAATGAGTGTATGTTTACATCGAACAATATAGCAAAATAGGAAGTATAATGCAGCAATTTACACATAAAAAGTGAACAGAATTATTTACATTTTGTGAAAAAGTGGATTTTTTTTAAAAACTTTTATTATTTATGGTGACGTAATCACTTTTACTGTGTTAGTAACGGCTTAAAATATGAAAGATTCACGAGCCTTATTAAATGTGTACACTGGTTTACGGAATTTTTTCTTGCATGTTTTAGGGTGTTGTCGTAGTTGAAGATGTGTTGAGGCTGAAAGCACAACTGGAGTTGAACAATCAAGCTACAGAGGTATTACTATCAGCTCTACATGAAATTTCTGGCAAGCAACCGTCAGTCAAGGTTCTACAAGAAATTAAGATCGGTGAGCATATGTACATGATAAGTTACAAATTATGTAAATCTATTCGAAATTGGTGCATGATGAAGATATGTTTCACCCATCTGCATAGTAAAGCCCTGTTTTACTGTAATCTATCACTGGAGATAATTGTTATGAGAACAAGGTTGCGATGTTCATGTGGATTGTTGCCATAATTGGTATCATTAGCATTTCTTCTGCGGACAGCGGTGGCCGACTCCTAGAATGTTTTATTGTATAATGAGCATTGACATTTTTGGCATTGTTGGGGCAAAAAATTTTTGGCCATGTCAATTCTCAACAATAATCAGCATTGATAAGTTGTAGGTCCAATAATCATCTCCCAGGTATAATGACGGATTGGAATAAAATTTGCTACCTGCATGAGTCAATCTTGTTCGTTTTTTACTAGTTTTTACCTGTTTCAAAAAGGAATGGTTTTATACGGTGTGTCTAAGTGCAAAAGTGCTAAGTGCGTAAGTTTCAATAAAAAATGACTAGCAAGATATTTGGTATACAAGCAGAGTGAAAAAAACAGCACTGTTTTGTTGGTTCATTTTACTGTTGTTTATCCTTTTGCACTTTTGGTATGAATTACTTCCACAAATCTAGAGATCTTTTAATTCCTGATGAATTACATACAGAACTACTAGGTGGTGTAGTTTAATAATATAGTGATTCGCATAACAGTCACATAGTGTTTACTACTGACAATTTATTATGAAATCCCATTTTTAAATGTTTTTTGCAGAGTTATTCTGCATGCCACTGTGTGTCTAATTGCATCATCTCTCTACTGTACAGGACGTTCCGTGCGTAGGCTTAGTAATCATAGTGACCCCCAGGTGGCCATCCTTGCTCGCGACATCTGTGCATCGTGGAAATCATTTATCAGGGAGCGTCGAAGCCTGCCTATGATTGAAGTCAGAAGTGATGCGAAGACGGAGTGCTTACGGCAATCCGCCAGAAAGCTCATAGCAGAAGCACTTGCAATTGTGGTGCGTTTATCCCGTTTATCACTTAGCTGGAGAATCTTTGATGCGTTTGGAGCAATGGTCGATACACGGCTAACGCCAGTGTAGTGTTGCTGTAGCACAGTATGCATCCCCCTACGGCAAATGCCCCACACGCTCTACATTGCGCATGGGGCTGGACATGTCTAACAAGGCGCATTGCGCGTGATGCATGGGGATTTGAACATTATTGCACATGTGCAATAAGCGGGGGGGGGGGGAGCCTTTTGCTATAGGGGATGCTCATTGTACTACACTGGGAGTTGCTGGCCTGTGAAGTTGGAGGCATGAGAATGAATATGGTCTAGAGGAATAGCATAGTGGTGAGGAATAAAATAATAATAATTATAATAATAAAATAATAATAATTATAATAATAAATTATAATAAATTATAATAATAATAATTATAATAATAAAATAATAATAATTATAATAATAAAATAATATAGTGGTGAGGAATAAAATAATAATAATAATAATAAATAATAATAGGAATAAATAATAGTGGTGAGGAAACTAGGGTGAAACTGAGCGAATGACATAGAATCGAAAGGGTGGGAGTGAACGAAAGTAAAGATGGAAAAGCTCACGAGAGAGTGCAATAGAAAACGAGCATTAGAGGCAGAGCAATATGAAGAAAGACAATTAAGGAAAGGGGAGCAGAATTGCAAGAAAGAGAGGAGAGATGTAGAGGAATAATGACAATAGTTTTACCTATTACAGGAGACTAGTCTGATCGTGGAAAGTATAGAGCGAGAGGTGTATCACCAGAGTCACAGAATCCTCAACAGCAGCTACAGGAGGACGATACGGAAGCTGGTGTTCAGACTTCGAGCGGAAGATGCTACTGCCGAAAGTGTTCGGCTTGGGAACATCTCATCCCTTCTGTCTAGCAGCAGGCACTGAGGCATTCAAATCTCGTTAATGACTTGATCGGATTTTATGACGAAATGTTCTTGCCTGCCTATGCATGTAGGCTTTTTTATTTTTGTAACTGTATATATTGAAAATGAATAGATTTATTATATTTTTACGCATGTTGTTATTGCTTATTGGCTAGTTAAAATAAAATTGCTTACAAAATGCTTATTTCTCACAGGAATAAAAAAAAAAAGAGCACACTGCCAAAGAAAAGTCAGAAGTGATTGATATTTTTGAGATGATTATTAGAAATTATTTGAAAACGTGCTTTGTTAGAGATATTTTGTAATAGCATGACGTTTCACAATTACACCACACACTTTCCAACCCATATTTTCTTTCTGACCCGACCTGTTGGTTTCAAGTGTTTTCCCATAGCACTAAGACTACAATCGGCACTAATTTTTTGTAACACACTTTAAAAATTGCTTCTGTGACTAATGAAATGCGGCGAGAGTCCAGCTATGTATCCGTAATATGGTTCAGCCACTGTAATCATATATTGAAGGTAAATTCCTCTGGTTCTATTATTGCTGTGCCACATGTTGACATTGGTGTAATTAGCCCACTCAAACAGGCCACGTTGTTACGTTCTGGTGTTCAAAGTTCAGTATGTAATTAGCACTACTTCCACCCTTTGTTGGCTTAAACCTCCAACAGACAGGAGTACGTAATGTTTGTACACAAATGTGTCACTATTCGCCAACAGATGGCGCTCCCCAAACGCAGCATCACATTACCTGATTGCGCGTGCAGTTGGCTGTCAACAGGTACGTTTATACGGCTGATTAGCAGCAGGTGCGAGAGCTCTCGCTGCGTGCGCCCGCCGCGAACTACAAAGCGAAGCTCATACCCTCTGGGAGTCTTCTCTCGCTTATACATTCCGTGGAAGTACAACGTGTTCCTTCTAGTCCTCGCTTTCCGTGGAGATTCAAGCTGATCGTTGGCTAACGCAGACGTTTCTGATTCTCGCGCGCGCACGTGTTAATTATTGCAAGAACCCGACCTGCGGTAGAAGACAACTGCAGTCACGCTACGAAAGACGCCTGCAGCAAGTCGTGCCCGTTTCGATGATGGAGGCGCCGACACGCAACTGAGCAGAAGTGTCTTTATGTAAGTAAATCGCCGCTGCGTCCCCAAGCTACGCGCGATACGCGTTTTCCCCAGTTCTCACATGTTTTTCATGCGAGATATACCTATCATGCATGGCTAATGGCGAAATCGTGATGGCGAAACGTGATGGCGAAACGTGATGGCGAAATCGTGATGGCGTGTCGCATGGCGAATTCGTTTGCGCGACTATACGTTACACTCGCTTGAGCGTTCCCGGCCATCGAAAGCACTGCTGCTTTGCGCGCGTCTGTGCTATGCACGTTTACACCCCTGCGACTTCTGCATATACATTTGGAGCGAGTGAATAACGGAAGCAAACACCGCACGCGTATCGTCGTCGTTCTAAGTGACCAATTCGATTCTGCGTGGTGAGGAAAGATGCCGATGGACGACCGAGTGGTTTTAAGGAGATACTGTGGATAAGTTCATCGATGAAATATTAGGTAGGAACGTGGACCGATGCAGAGGTAGGCATACCCGCGGATCGAATAATGGGAGCAGGCAGGTACGTGGATAGGTAGATGAGGGTTGGTAGGCCTCCAGATAGAATGATGGGAGCAGGCAGGTACGTCGTGGATAGGTAGATGAGGGTTGGTAGGCATGTGGATAGAATGATGGGAGCAGGCAGGTACGTGGATAGGTAGATGAGGGTTGGTAGGCCTGCGGATAGAATGATGGGAGCAGGCAGGTACGTGGATAGGTAGATGAGGGTTGGTATAGGCCTGCAGATAGAATGATGGGAACAGACAGGTACGTGGATAGGTAGATGAGGGTTGGTAGGCCTGCGGATAGAATGATGGGAACAGACAGGTACGTGGATAGGTAGATGAGGGTTGGTAGGCCTGCAGATAGAATGATGGGAACAGACAGGTACGTGGGGTAGGCGTAGATGAGTGGTCGGTATGAGCCTGCGGGTAGAATGGATTGGCAAGCAGGCGCAGGTAACGCTGGGCTACGGTAGGTGAGTGTGGTAAGCCCTGCGGAGAGATGATGGGAGCAGGCAGGTAGCTAGGGTAGAATAGGATGAGTGTGGTAAGACCTGCGGATAAGGAATATGGGAGCAGGCAGGTACGTGGGTAGTAGGTGAGTAGTGGTGAAGCCTGCGGTGTAGAAATGATGGGAGCAGGCACAGTACGGCTGGGTAGGGTATGATGAGTGGCTGGTAACCACTGCGAGTAGCAAGTCGATGGAGCAGGCAGGTATACAAGCGTTGATAATGGTAGATGGGGAGATTGATAGTCCTAATGCGGATAGAAATGAGATGGGAGACAGGCGAAGGCTACGTGGATAAAGAATAGAATGGGAGGTTGGGAGGCTTGCGTTGGCGGAAGAATCATAATGGGAGGCAGCAGACGGTAACGTGATAGAGTAGATGAGGGTTGGTCAGGCCTGCGATAAGAATGATGGGGAAGCAGGCAAGGTTACGCTGGAATGGTAATGGAAGGGCTGCTGGTAAGGGCTTTGCAGATGAATGGATGCGGACGCAGGCAGGTAACGTGAATAGGTAGAATGAGGTATAGGTGAGCCTGCAGGATCGAATTGATGGAGACAGGCAGAGATACATGGATAGGTAGAGTATGGAGGCGTTTGGTAGGAGACCATGTGGATAGAATAGATGAGATAAACGTGAAGCGGAGCAGGGGTAAGGTGGTGCGCGGATGAGAGTGGACGAGTTTAGGGTTGAGCCGCACGTGACCGTAAGAGTGGTGAGGGAAGGTATATGCCGTGGTGGATAGTCAACGGTAGCTACGTGAGATAGAGGTGAAGGCTAGCTAACCACTTGTAAAGGTAGACCGAGGTGGGTAGCCCGCAGTGACGGAAGGAGAAAGATGCGCGTAGAGAATAGAATAGTAGATCATGTGGAGCAGGCGCACCGCGTCTCCAGCCTTGATATACTGACCACAACGGAAAACCTGTACCTCTTAAAACATACCGCTGGCGTGGCCAAATGCCCACATTCACCGCATAACGCAGTTTCGCGATGGCCTACAATATATCGCCCCCCCCCCGCCAGGTAAGCACAACCGGCTAGCCCTAAGGCACTATAGACTAGTGTTACAGCTAACGGATTACACGATACGCTACAGTAGCCTAGAGACACAATACCGGCTGACAAGCAGGCGGGGTTAAATGTAAGCAGTATAGTCTAAAAAATCGCACATCCAGCCCTGCCAACCCCTCGTGAAACCCGCCTCCCAGGATCAGATAGCATGGTCACGGAGAACGTAATTATTAAACACACGTCGCCAACATAATATGTCTTGAACACGTCTTCTAAATGTCAAGAACACATAACGCTAATTCGCAGGCCCCCCACAACTCAGCCCACACCCACTCACCACACCCGTCGCGTACGTGTGGTGCGCCGCTGGGTCGCAACTATCGTACAATTGTGTGCGCGGTGTAGCAGAACTCGGGAGTGTGATGTCTCGTGCACGCGTATACCGCGTGCGTGCGCTTTGCTTATCTTTGTGTGTATGTTGAGAAAGAGAGAACGCGAGGGTGTGTGCGATGTCACGTGTGCGTGCTGTGCCGTCAGCGCGCACCTTTCTTACGAGTCGTCGTGCCATGTGTTCCGTATGCCATTGTGCTGTTGTGGTAAGCAATGCGTGTGGGTCTAACTTCAACCTCCGTCATGTCAGGTCTAGTATGGGTGCGGCGCGCTTTCGCCTGCCGCCTGTGCGTGTTTTGTTGTGTGTGTGTGTTGTGTGTGTGTGTGTGTGGTGTGTGGTGTGTGTGTGTGTGTGCGTGTGGCAATGCGTGCATGGCTTGCGTGCGTGCTTGTGCGTGCATGATGTGGGTAGCGTGCGTACTGTGCGTGTGCGTGCGTGCGTACGTGCGTGTGCGTGCGTAGCGTAACAGTGCGTGTGCGCTGTCGTGCGTGCGGTGCGTGCGTGCGTGCGTGCGTGGCCGTATCTTGAAGTGCGTGCAATGTGTGGGTTGCGTGCGTACGTCGTGTGCGTGCGTACGTGCGTCGTCCGTGCGTGCGTGCGTAAGTGTGTGTGTGTATGTGTGTACTGTTGTGTGCTCGTGTGTGTGTCCGTAGGTGTGTGTGTGTCGATGTGTGGTATGTGTGATGTGCATGTGTGTCGCGCGATAGTGCATGTGGTAGTGAGACACGAGAGCAAGGTGAAAGGAGAATATACATATGTCTATCGGTTCCACACATGATCTAAGCAGCAGCCTCGTTGTCGCGGTCCCCTAACACGACAAGAACCGCACCACGAGGGCGCGCCGCGGGGGAGCGCCGCGCCGGAGCGGAGCCGAGTCGACCAACCGGGAGTAACCGGCGGAGCCAGTCTTGTGAACGTGTATATATTACACGCGTTGTTCCTAATGCCATGGGTCGCCGCCGGAAGTTTTGCGAGCAAGCAGCGAGCGTATCTCAAGTCGCTACCATTCGAGTTGTATAGCCATGCGATAACGTAGGAATGAAATAAACACGCTTCATCGTTATCGACAGCATCTATGACTCTCGCGAAAACACTGTCGTGTTTTCAGTGCGCTCGTTATCTTAGCTTGATTAGCAGCTTATGTGTGTGTCGTTCCTGTTGGTTCCATAGAGAACATATTGCAGAATATATGCAATTCGCTGGTAAAATCGTAAACATATAGGAGATTAAAGTATTCGATGTCGCGAATTTGCTATGTAGCACGACTCGTACATGACGTGTCGTTGAATTAAAAATATGAGGAAAACTTCTAAAGTCCGTAAAAGATTTTTCAAATTCAATATCCATTTGACGATCTGATATACGATAGTTAGATATAGAAAAAAAACAAAATACATATTCGTAATTCAAAAATTAAAGTTCTTAATGGCATCTAACATATTAGTAACATTATTTAACGTAAATACGGAAGCGAAAAATTAGAAGTTGATGATCCACGTAGCCATTGATATAACCGTGATCGTCTGATATCACAGCGCCTAATTAATTTGATAGTTTAAAGTGATACAAGCTATTGATAGGGTTGGGATCGCGCACGCGTATATACCGTGTGTAGGGATTTTTTCTGGTTAAGTACCGTGTTTGATGTACGTGATGTGATGTGTGTTGTGTGTAGTGTGTGCGGGGGTTTTTAGGGTTTGGGCGGGGTTTTTGGTGGGTGTTGTGTGTGTGTGTGAAAGTGTCGTGTGTGTGTGGGCCGTTAACTGTCTGTGTGTGTGTAGTGTGTGTGTGTAGTGTGTGTGTGTGTGACGTCGCGTGACGTCGTGTGCGTGCATGCGTACGGTGCGTGTGCGTGGCATAACGTGCGTGTAAGCGTCTTGTGTTTGTGTGTGCGTAGCGTGCGTGCGTGCGTGCGTATTTTTGCGGTGCATTGTGAATGGGTGCGTGCGTGCGCTGCGTATTACTTTGCGTGGCATGTGTGGGTGCGTGCGTGCAGTGCGATACAGGTACGTGTACGTGAGTGTGGTGTGTGTGTATGTGTGATGTGTTGTCGCGCGTGCTATGATGTGGGAGTGCTTGTTGTGTCTCGTGTGTGTGTAGTGTAGTGTGTGTGGTGTGTGTGTGTTGTGTTGTGAGTGTAGTCGTGTGTGGGCGTGCCTAGTCTGGTGTGTGTGTGGGTGTGAGGCGTGCGTAGATCTGATGTGTGTGTGTGTGTAGTGTCGTGTGTGTGTGTGTTGTGTGTGTGATGTGTGTCGTGCGTGGGCGTGCTTAGTCTGTGTGTAGTGCGTGTGATGTGTGTGTGTGCGTGTAGTGCGTGTGAATGGCGCGCGCGCGTGGTGTGTGTGTGAGAGAGAAAGAGAGGTGAAAGAGAGATATAATATGTCTGATGGTTACACAGCGTGAGATCCACAGGCAGTCGTTGTCCGGAGCTAAACGAAACGAACGCACGTACGGACGAGCAGTCGACCACGCCGATTCGTGAACGTGTATCATTTACCGTTGTGTCCTTATGGCCATGCTGCGGCGCGAGTTTTGCGGAACAAGCAGCGGACCAGCGTTCCCAAAGGTCGCACCATTCCAGTTGTAAAACTCATCGGTAGACGTGAGGAATGAAAGACAACCGCTTACCAGGTTATCCGACAACATCTTTGATTCGCCCGGAAACACTCGTCGTGTTTTCAGACGCGCTGCCTTATCTTAGCTTGATAGCATCTTATGTGTGCGTCGTCCCTAGTTGTTCATCAGAGAAGCATAATTGCAATATTGCATTTGCTGGTACTAACCCCGGAAACTATATACGGAAGATTAAAGTATCGAATGTGGGCGATTTGCTATGTAGCACGACTCCGTCCAATGACGGTGGTCGTTTGAATTAAATTATGAGGAAAAAATTTCAGAAATTCAATAACTTTGAAAGAATCTGATATACGATATGTTAGTTATAGAAAATTATAGACAAAACATACATAATTCGCATGCAAAATTCAAAAGTTCTATGCCATGCAACAACAATATATATAGACATGAATATTCAGTAACATTATATAACGTGGAAGCACCAAAAATTAGAAGTTGATGATCACGTAGCAAGTTGACTATTACTCGCCTGATACCGCTGAATTATAACAGGCGCTAATTAATTTGAATTAGTTTAAAATGATAACAAGACTATTGATATGGTTGGGATCGCGCACGCGTTAAATACGTGTGTAGGAAATTTTGGTTTATGTGGCGTGTATTGTATAACGTGTGTGTGTGTGTGTGTGATGTGTGTGTGTAGTGTGTGTGTGTGTGGTGTGTGTGTGTGTGTGTGTGTGTGTGTGTGTGTGTGTGGGCGTACTCATGTGTGTGTGTTGTGATGTAGTGTGTGTGTGTGTGTGTGTGTGTGTGTGGTGTGTTGTGTGTGTGTGTGGGCGCGCGCGTGCGTGTGTGTGCATATGTGTGTGTGTGCGCGCGTGTGTATGTGAGTGCATGTGCGCGTGCGTGCGCAACACTTTTTGCTACATGTTGTTCGAGTCGCTTCTCAATTACCAATTTCAGGAGGTGGTTTTTTCTGCTAAATTTCCTCTGTGGTAGCGGTGGATAACATACCATCACCGCGGTACGCATGTATCATTGCAATGTATTGTAACACGAATATATAGGTTTTTTTGCGTATGGCTTGCGTGCCAGTTGAATCCAGTATTTTGCATCTTCACTTATAATAATCATATGCTCATAATGTTCGATACAACTGTCACACTGGTAGTCGTGACAGTCGAACTTCCCAATGTCTGTTGCTTTACGTTGTAACTGCACAACGTAACATTGTGCATATGATATGCATTTCGTCGTAATGCGAGGGCAATGTTTGAAGTATAAAATTTTTCGTCTAGTAACACAGATAAGGGTGGTATCGGGGAAGAAGAGATAATGAAATTACCTAATCTTGATGAAATCATGCGTTTGATTTTCATATGTAGCCAGATTACGCTTGTAGAATGTCATTTGCGGCTTCTCTGTCGTTCGTGGCAGTGTACACCGAATGTTACTGGTTTTAATTGCAAATGTCCAATTCCCCTTTTACGACTTCACAAACTCTATTTCTGTAATTTAAATTAAACTATGATATTTGCTATTGGCTTGTTGGGAGATTCTTCGAGTCTAGCTACTGTGGATTTTCTGTCAAAAGTCAGCAAAGGAGAAAAACAGAAACAAAGACGTCAAATAATGTTAAAAAATAAGAGGATAAAAGAGAATTGTTAAATATTAATAAAGAAAACAAGGGCGAAATCACGATTACGAGATAGAGATAGAGAGAACGAGATCGCGAGAGAGATTGAGAGAGAACGAGAGAGCGAGAGATAGATAGAGAGAGAGAGAAAGAGAGAGAGAGAGAGAGCAAAAAAGCGAGAGTGAGAAAAAGAGAGAGGTCGAAAAGGATACAAAGGTGATCTCGAGCAAGTTGAAGAGTAGATGCAAGCGAAAGAGAGCGCCCACGGGGAGAGAGAATTGGATTTTTAAAACGAGAGCGAGATAGAGTGCAAGAAGGGCAAGGGCGACGACAAAGAAAGGGAGAAACGAGACAACGCGCGAGGGCAAGATAGAGAGCTAGTGAACGAGATGGGAGAGAGAGAAAAAGAAATAGGAAAAGAAAAGAAAGAGAAAGAAATAGGAGAAGAAAAGAAAGAGAGGGATATAATAAGAACCACACCGAGTAAGCGTACGCGAGAGATGGCGAAAGCGAAAAAGGGCGTGAAGGAGAAATCGCGAAGACGGAAGAGCGAGAGAGGAAAAGAGCGAGAGAGAAAAAGAGCGATAGAGAAATAACGGGAGCAGGATAGAAACAGAGACAGCGCGGGGGCGGGAGGTGGAGGTACGAGTCCAGAGATTGCGTAGAAGGTGTTCCGCCAAACGGAGTACATATATAGGCTTTACTAAATGGTAGCATTAATACACCACGGAGAAATCGTAGGCCGTCAGTACGACTTTTGGCTACCCCTGACATACGAGCTGCGACCGTTCATACACTCAGCAAACCGCATAAATACGTCGTATTGTTACGACCCCACCAGCTTCATTTAACCCAGCCACGGTGTAATTAACCCCCTAGCTCCTCCGGCAGTAATTACGCGCTGGTGCGAATGCGGCCTTGATTGGAAAACGGTTAGTTGCGTTAGTTTTAACCATGGGCGTTGAAAAACGCTGAAATAAAATCTAACATCGCGTCTATAACAAATGCGAACACGTCGACGAACGGGGCCAACGCAGCAGCAGCAGCAGCAGCACAGCCACGTTTCACGAGCAGCGCGTTTAACCTCTCTCGTCTCGCTCTATCGAACGCTAGTGCTGCCTCCTTGATTCAGGAGCAACAAACAAGCAGCAAGATGCGTCCGATGTCGTGTTGTCATGGTGGCGTACATTACAACGCGTGTTCCTCAGCCTGCCGAATATAAAGCTTTGCGCGGACACAGATGTATACATGCCAGAACGTTGGGACTGTCAAAGATATATACGTTCACCATCGCTCTTCGACTGTTTTACTGCGGTAGCGTGCATCTTGCCGCATAGAATTGTCGCAGATAGATTGCCTTGTTCCTTTAGTCCCGTCAGATATCAAGGGCTTCGAAGAAGGTACAATTCCCGGAGGTGCTATAAGAACGTATGCCATATATCTTGAAACGTAACAATCGCAAGCGACGCAATTCCTCGTTTACGGTTTACGCGCGGTTGCTCAAAGCATAAATTGCATACGTAAATCCAAAATTTTTGCTCATCCCTTGAATGCTTCAATGCGTATGAATTGCGTAGAAAATTCGGGTTAGAAACATTGATTTGCTTTAGGGTTAGCTTGGCATCCATTATGAGCACCGATTACATGATCGAATCTTCACTGATTTGTCGACAGATGGGACACGTCAAAATAAGGATACGAGACACGTACGTACAACATATTTTGAAGAACAACGGATCCAATAAATCACTTTATTGAGTGATGTAGTTTACGCGGGTAATAGCAGTTAAAATCACTTGAAAAATGCCGTCGTTGTCGGTTCGGATACTTGATGACTGAGGCGACTATATGACTACGGCTAGAACCCCGTCAATTCTTCGCGTTAGCTTCACGTTTCGAATGTAGAAGAACCCGTTTGCATATCACTTTGCGCTCTCGCACGCTACAGCAACAAACTCCGAAAGGAATAAATGAATAAACAGGAATCCAAGCGTAGCAAAGTTGAAGGTTTATCATGTCCGATTACTAGATTATACTTTCATAGCGTTCTAAATGTTGACTTCTATTTTTAATTTGGTTCTCGCGCGCAACTCAGAGCCCGCAAATATAGAGTTCTGAAAAGAGCTAGCTTTGATCTCAACGTATATTTTAGATATAGCTTCTCATGCGTACGTGCAGCTGATCCAAGATAATTTACACCTCCAAACTACGTAGTAAAATGTTCTCCCCCACCCCCTTAACTAGAATTGCAGATTTAGCCTATTCAACCTTGCCTGTATGGCTTGCTACTGTTTGATGCATCGATAGCTAATTCGGACATGTGCCTAGAAACAGCACAGCAGGATCTTCATCTAATTAGTCTTAATTAGTGAGGCTTAATTTAGTCACAATATATCGACTTTATTGTTCAACGTGGAGAATCAATTATACTTTCATAATAGGCATACACGTACAGTAGTCATTGACATATGGCTAATCCCCTAATACGGATGGGTTGATTTGTCAGCGATTGCCTATACACTTGTATCTGTTCTAGCATCAGTGACCAAGCAAACGCGAGCAAGAAAGGGTGAGAAGGGCTGAGTAGTCGTGATGCATTCGAGTAGACAAGACAAAGGAGAGAGGGGATATATGTATATATATATATATATGTGTGTGTGTGTGTGTGTGTGTGTGTGCGTGCGTACGTGCGTGCGTGCGTGCGTGCGTGTGTGCGTGTAGAGAGAGAGAGAGAGAGAGAGAGAGAGAAAGGTAGGAGAGGTAGAAAAAGATGACGGCACTATCAGTCTGTGCGCACGGCAAGTCTTGTACTTGTCAAGTACCTCATTGCACAAACGTAGCAAGCTTGTGTCCAGGCTATGTTCTAACTTGTTCCGTTGTTTGCATCACAGGAGGGTCATGACTAGAAACATCGGTGACACTCACATAGAACTGCTGGAGCAACAAGAGAGAGAACCACTGCAGAATGAAGCAGCCAGCGGCTCAGTCAGTGAGGAACCGCCACCTAGTAGTGGACGAGGACAGGCTCACAGCACCTTCCCCTTTCCACAACTGGACTTCCCTCGACCCATAGTCACGTACTTCGGGGAGAATGTGGAGAGACAACGCAGAAGTAAACATTTCAGGTTGTCCATACAGTCTCGCATCTATAACTTCTTGGAGAGACCCAGCGGGTGGAAATGTTTTATCTACCACTTTGTCGTGTGAGTATACTCGCCATTCTTCATTGCTGTCTTACGAAGAAAATTTCAGTACTTTCCCTAACGCATTTCTTACACAGTTGTAGGCGACAAAGCCTATGCGAATATTTTTGCCGTTGATACTGCTCCGCTCTGCCGTCGCTTTTTTTTGTCGCTCTGCGTCCGTACGACCTTGGATTGTTTTAGTAATATTTATTCTACATTTTATTACGTTGTGATGAGTTTTTAGCGCACTAGCTCTAGGAGAGTATCTTACGCATTGAATCTGCATATCATTACCATTCATGCTTCCGCTATGAAATGAATATATGCAATGACGCCAGTATCGTCAGTGTCTTTACCGTCCATTGTTCCCGTAGTCAATGGAGGGATATTCAGTGTCCACGTTAAGAAGTTATAAAGCCAATGTGAGATACAAAAGTGGTTTTATCCGATAACCGTCACAATTTAAGTTGAAATTACAAATATATTGGCGTATGTAAGCTACGGAACGTTTGATCATTATGCAGCTACGTTGCTATTATCTTGTGACCTTTTTTTGAACCCTGCGTGATGTGATAAATATTTCTTCGTTTGTTTCATTTATAACAATTTCTAACCCGTTAAGCAGGAGCGAGTAATTGTCAATTAATTTCTGCCCCGTATTGGCCGTTTCTATTATTATATTATTGCAATTATGTTGCACTATAATTAGGATGACGTCATCGTATAGCCTTTATTATAGTAACTGATAAATACGTGCGCAATTACCCTAAAATCTGATGAAGCTAATCTCCTATTGTTGGTGGTCACGCATGCATTTCACACAGACTCGGTGTTTGTACCGATTACGTGTAACATGAGTGAACTGGAGAATAGCAGGTAATATGAACACCGTGTCTGCAGGCAGGCATGCCTTTCTCTTTATGGCTAGTCCAATATAAGCGTCGTATATACAGTGTACAAAATACACACGCAGTACAGCGATGAGATATTAATGAGCCACTGAGCTTATAAGTTATGTGAAATGTTTCCTTTGAATGAAGCGCGATACGTGTTTGATTCAGATTGAAATTTCAGATTCGATCTGCATATATGAATTGGCATGGTGCGCGAAGTTCAATACAAAATGTAAAATTCATTGACCACACACAGAGCATGGGCTGCAATATTGAGCTATGCCTGTCTTCCCAGCACTCATATTAATATGTCTGACGACCCGCCCCCATACATATATAGGTGGTCTCTCTCTCTCTCTCTCTCTCTCTCTCTCTCTCTCTCTCTCTCTCTCTCTCTCTCTCTCAGGATAGAATGATGGGAGATAAACGTGAACGGAAGCGGGGTAGGTGAGTGCGCGGATGGATGGTGGAGGTAGGTTAGCGCGTGGACGCGTAGAGTGGTGGGAAGGTATACGTGTGGATATAGGTAGGTACGTGAGTAGATGAAGGGGCTAGGCTACCACTTGTACAGGTAGAGAGGTGGGTAGGCAGGTGACGAAGAGAAGATGCGCGTAGGATAGAATAGTAGATCATGTGGAGAGGTGAGGGTTAGGTTGATTAACTGACAGAAAACTGGACATGTAGACATACCGCTGGGTTGGCATGCAATTAGGCATAACGCGTTTCGGTGGCCTACAATATATTCGCGGGGAGGTAAGCACAACGCTAGCCCTAGCACTATAGCTGTGTTCGCTACGAATTACACAGATACTACAGTGCTAGAGCCAATACAGGCTGACAAGCAGGCGGGGTTAAATGTAAGCAGTATTAGTTAAATCGGCACCATTGGGTCGCAACTGTGAAACCGCGTCGGATCAATAGATGTACGGAGAACGTAATATTACACGTCGCCAGCATAATATGTTTGACACGTTTCTAAATGTCAAGACCAAGCTAATTCGCGCCCCCTCACTCACCACACCATTCACCACACCCGTGCGTACGTGTGTGCGCGTGCGTGCATTCGTACATTGTGTGCGCGTGTGAGAATGGGAGTGTGTGTTCGTGCACGCGTATATGCGTGCGTGCGGGCTTGCTTTCTTGTGTGTTTGAGAAAGAGAGACGGAGGGAGTGTGTGCATGTACGTGTGCGTCTGTGCGTGCGCGCACTTTTACGAGTGTGTGCATGTGTTCGTATGCATGTGCCTGTTGGTGGCATGCGTGTGGGTCTACTTATGTATGTAGGTCTATATGGGTGGGGGGGTTTGTGCGTGTGCGTGTTTGTGTGTGTGTGTGTGTGTACTCTCTCTCTCTCTCTCTCTCTCTCTCTCTCTCTCTCTCTCTCTCTCTCTCTCTCTCTCTTCGTCGGCGCCACCGCTTAATCTGTCTGAGTGGTCGCATACGAGATCCTTACATTTTCCCGCACCCGAAGCCAAGGAAACAAGTTCGCGTACGAACGTTCCTATCGCTAAAATTCGGTATCGTTGAGGAGTACACGCTATACATAGCTACAGTGGCATATACAAGGAAATGTCCGTGTCTCATCACTGTCAGTAAGATGCTGACGTTTGAGACAATTAGGCGCACAGGTAGGAAGTGGACCCGAAGCTACGGTCGGATGCACTACAGCCCGACAGAGCTTTCAGCCGCTCTTACGAGACGAGTACGTGGAACTGACTATGCATTAGCGCCTCTTACCGGACACGCTGATAGATAGTGAGTATAGACGCGCCGTAATAGGAAGCTGATAGGTTTGGTCAAATGCGAAAATGCAAGCTTCGTCATTCAATCGTACGTCTATATATATGAGCGCGTGAACTCATTAGTCAATTTATGCGCACGTGTACGCATGCAGATGCTCTCGGGATAATAGAGATTTGGAAATGCTCCAAGATTTCTCGTGCACATTAAAGCCTATGCGAAGGCAAAAAAACAACGCGTCTGGTGAACACAGTAACGTGTAGGTGTGTTATATTTCAACTATATGCATCAATAAAAAAATGTATAAAGCACTCTAAACGTATTTTTAACGCGATTTTGTAATAGAACTACGCGAAAAACGAGTCTGTCGTGACGTCACGCGGATGACGTAGATTTGGGCATCTATTCTCGAAATACGAGTCAGCTCGTGGTAACATTGTACAGTAAACCGCCGCTAAACTTGGTTGATCGCCGTAGTAATTCTAGTATTACTCAATAGATGGGACTGGTTACGCACACATAAAATGAGTATGCCCAGTCTATACTCACCCCAGTCTTAGAATGATATATTTGACCTATATTTTCCCTTCAAAATAATACTAAGCAAAGGGAAGCGTTAGTACGACTCGGGTAAAGCAGCGCATATAAGCTTGCTTGGAACTAGCGCCGTGTAACATACGATTTTTATGTCATGATATCACGATAATTAACGAGTTTTATACCAAATTTTGACAGATAATCATAGTACTAATATCCTACTAACTTAATATATAAGTTTTTTTTATATCTATTGAAATACTAGAATAAATAGACATATGTCTCTACCGTTGCAAAAAAGTACTAGAACAGTCACCGATGTTTATGTACACCGCCGTGAACGATTTGTTATGAGTATTTTTCTCAACAATATCAAAATAAAGCAGAAAATATTTATACTTAATTTTGACAGATAAGTATAGTACTATTTATAGTAAGATTGGTTACATGGTAATGTTGTTTGCGGTCGATTTCTTACAGACTTCTACTCTTTATTAAACGGCTGCACAACGATAACCGTGCCGGTGTGTAGCGTGTATGTCATTGCAGAAGCGCTGAACACAGATATCCAAATCTATGTCACGATTAGGCCACGCCCCCTTTCAAATCGAATTGCGTCTCGTTGATTTTTCTGGACTTACTATTGCTTTAAAAGGTACAAAAACACACATTTTTGATAAAATACCTAAAGGAAAGCATTAATATGATTACCGAGCTTTTATACAATTGTGACGAAGAGGTGTAATCGCATGACTAAATATTAATGATTAATGATAATTGTTAAGCCAAGCATTCCCTGCGTACTATTCATCATTTGTATATATATTATATATATATATATATATATATATATATACAAGAGCTAATAATATCTAGCTAACTAATATGATTAGCTCTCAATATAATATATATATATATATATATTATAATATATAATATATATACTACGAGAGAGGAATGAGCACAGAGATAGATAGAGACAAAACATAGCAACTCATCACAGAACTTGAAAAGGTGTCTCCTGATATTAGCCGCTGGCTGAGTTCTAGGCATTCCGTATTTAATGAATTGATGCCCTTACCAGGATTATTTTATATCGCTACAGCATAGTAAGCTATACATATCGCGTGGCTCAGATACGGCGAGCAGCCAGAGAGCTGGGATGCGACACCCGGATGGATAGTCGGCTATATAGTCACAGTCCGTTGTATTTCTCATCGCCGTGCACGCCGATAGGTAGCAATGTCGCCGAAACTACTAATAAAAATCCACGGCAATAGAAATCCGCGGATGAAATAGCCGACGACTGAAAACGTAATACGCCCAAACGCGACCGCGCTCGGACAGAAAATCCTAAGGCACAATCCCATAATCTCGCTATAGCAAAATTGGAAAGGTAATTTGCCAGCTCGCTTCTACTTACGATGCTAACGAAATCGTGTGCTGCTAATTGCGAGCGCGCGCGTGTCACCACCTAGCCTATGCCAAACATTAGCACATTTATTTTCGGTACGTATATTTGCTTGGCATCGCGGGTTCTTAGTCAACAAGGGTCGCCATACACGTCACAACAGCGGCCAAGCTTGGCCAAGCCGAACATTCGACGTCCCTTGATGTGCTCAATATTCGCCCGTATAAGAATCTAACATCGCGGGTCTTTTCTTCACGTTACTGCTGTTTCGATTCGACGTCGACGCTCGTCGCTTTTCTCTCGCGCCACGCTTTATATTCCACGCAGAGCCACGTATGAAAGCACTTGATAACTGGCAGACCGAGACAGCGAGAAGAGGTGGCGCAGACACACACGTGCGCGTCACAACGCACCGTGGCACGCACGGCTACGCACCGG